TATTCACATAATATTTTTTTATCAATAGATTAATGATTATGATTTATATTTATATTATTAATATATGCTGATAAAATTAGAAATGCTTCATTTAACTATACCACAATAGAATATGATTAAGCTTGATGGTTGAATCATGTATTATTTACAATCTAATCTATGTAAAATTTTTATATATTGTATATCGCCTCAAATTGTTATAATTACCTGCATATTTCTTCTCATTGTGTAAGTCCATTCGTATGGTCTTTCTAAGTTATTCCAGTTATTAGAAGTTTCTGGACAGTCCAGATCAGAGCCTGATTCATTAGTGCCTTTTTCACTGCTTTCCTGCAGGATTAATTAATATATTTCAAATTATTAAATATGTATTAAATTACAATATGAGATTAATTGAATTTGTTAATTTTTAATATTACAAACCATGAGATATCAAAAATATTATATTATAGATCATAACCAAATACAAAAGTGATAGATGTCTTCTAGTCGTAGCACTTTTCAGCATTTAAATTGCATTCCTTTCTTTCGAGAAGGAAAAAAATAAAACCATGAAGTTTATTTTACTAATAAGTAAGACAAGTAAGGTTTATAGTTTATAGTCAATTCTGATATTTATATTTAAGACTGTCTTACAATTACATTCCAATCAATAAGATAATTATAAATATAACTATAAATTTATTTAAAAAGATTTTAAATAAAAGAATGGACTATGAATATTGGTCAGAACAACATCTATAATCTGATCTTACATCTGAAATCGTTTTAAGTACGATTTTGTAATACGATAAAATTTAATTTATTTTTTATATTTTAATAAACATATATTTAACCGATGTCCTTTTATGTAAAAATAAAGATTTGAAAGGAAAAAAATTGTCTCGCTGTTTTAAACAGAATAACTAAGCGTTAAGCGACGACACTCTTAGAGGTTAGGAAATCTATCATATCGACATAGCACTTGATGCTCATATATTTTTATAAAATCATTTCATCTTTATTGTGCACTAGATGTTAAACAGGGATAGATATGAGTGTCGCGTGCGTTATAGACTAGACTTTATTTTGCACTACAGACAGTGTGTTGTAGGAAAAGTATTGTTTCGCGCGGCAAATTGAAAGGCCACGTGGAACCGAAAACTGGACAATGATAGATCTCGTTTCGCACTGTAAACAAGGGGTGACGTGCGGTGAATTTTGTTTGGATGAAAACTTGAAAACTTCAGTGGAACTGCGAACAATGATAGATCTCTAATCTTTTTTATAAAATAAAAATTATTTTAAAAATAAAAGAGGAAAAATAATAAAAGCGTTATTTTTTTCTAACTTTTTAGTGTTAATAATGTCACGATTTAAATTGGTTTTTGCAACCAATCCGATATGATGGCGTAATGTGTCAGTGGGCTCTGTCAAGATCATATTTTGTTTTCTATTGTCTGTTTTACATATTATAATTTATTTAGGTAAAATATAATATCTTTAAGTAATAATTAACATTTTTAATTTAAATATTTAAGAATTAGTTTTAAATTTTGCAATTAGTTTCAATTAATTCTTTAATCGACCGATAATGTTAATCAAGGTGAGACCGACGTAATTTATTTGACGTAACGTCGTGCCCTCTGTCGACAATCAATTAGTACCGATCGACATTATTAGAGGGCAGGAATGGTCTTGTTTGCTTGTTACATAATCGGTAGTTTGACGTACGAGATTCAGGAATCCAGTAATAGAAGGATTATAAATCTGTAATTATTTAATTATTGTTTTTTATTTTAAACATTCGATAACTGTGAGTTTGTTTGTTTTGTTATTTATAATTTTTTGTTGAAGATTACTGCTTACAATAAGTAATTATATAATAATAAATTAGAAAAGTAATTTTATTCATTTATGGTTGTTTATTTATTAAGATCGAAATTTTAATAGAAAAAGACATTTAAATATGATAAAATATAATATCTACGAATAGTAAATAAGAGAAAGGGTGTATAAATAAACTGCAGAAACCTGTTAGCAAAGCAATTGCACATAATTAATATAATAACAAGTTTTCTTATCCTATCGGATATATTTCTTCTAACACATTTTCCAAATATTTCAAACGTATATTTGAATATCATCAAGATTACATGACATTAATAACGAAAATATATATGCAATCAAGAGCGATTGATAAATATTATTACAATTTTTTAATAATTATTTCGGATTTGATTGGCAATTATATATTATCTATTTTATTTTTTCTCTTTTCGAATATGAATCACAAAAGTAAAATAAAACAATAATATATAGTAATTAATAATATATGGCTTAATCTTATACATTTTTCATTATTATAATTTCTTGAGAGAAACATGATTATTGTTTCTTAGAGATATAATAAAATTCAAATTAAAAATTATAATTATAATATAAAAAACTTTAGCATTAAATTATGAGCGCTTCTATTTTCGATTAAAAATATTTTCGAATTAAAACACTTTTTTAACTAGATGATTTACTTTAATTTGTTAGGATAGAATTTTACTATAAAATTTTACACGCTGCATATTTTGATGTATTTTACCATTTATTGTATAAGATATAAAATTATAAATAAAATTTTATTTTGAATTATATTACAAATTGTAGACCGTTTAAAGAATTTAATATAAAAATTATTAACTAAATACTAAAAAATCTAACAGCGTTTTGGACAAGTACGTACGAAAAGTAATAACTTGACGAAGAAGATTATATGCCTTATTAAAATGAGGATCTTTTTCGAGTGTAATTTAATAGTAATTACTTACATTAATAGACAATTGGATAATATAATTTAAAAAGGTTTAGAATCTAGATTACGAGGAATGTAAAACAAGATTATTTATTAATCTCTTCTTTCTTTCTCGTTGCAGCACGAAGTATCGCAAAGTGCATGTTGATCTCGCGGTTTGTCAGAAACACAACGATAAATCATGCGTAAGTCCAGCATTATAACCGGATCGTAATGCGGATAAACGTTTTCCTTTAGAAGTTTTTTTTTAGACACCACCGGATTCCGTGACGTGAAACTTTTCAATGTGGATCAAGAAACACGTTACGACTCTTTTGTAAAAATAATAGATCTTTTGAAAAACGCAATCGTCGTCCGGCGTTACGGCGACATGGCCGTTTCGTTCTGGGCCAATCGTGCCAATAGACCTCGATTTATCCGTGACGAATTTTCCCCGAGTCTCGAGCAATTTTAAAAATTCAAGAAAATGTTTTTCCTTTTCCAGTTATAACTTTCAATAATAATTACGTTCAATTGATCTTACAAAAGGTTAAGGTAAAAGAGGAAAGATCTTTTTGTCGTATTATCCGCCGTATTATCGATTTAACGTGATTGTAATTATGACACAGTATATATACTCGGAGTTTTATCAATACGTTAGATGTATCTTGGAAAATGGGAAACGCGTAACGGAATGAATGTAACATTCCACGTTACATTTTCTGCGTCTGTATCGCGTATCGCGTTGAAACCGTTACCGGCTAATCACGCCGCAATAATTATCAATCTGCAAGGCGCTCGACGGGAAGATTAGCGGCGTGTAATAACATGTCGGAGTCTTATCCTTTCGCGCATATCGCGGCGTGATTTTCGAATGCAGGAAATATGGTATGCAGAGCGAAATATCGGATATCGTTGGGCGAGCGGGGAAGAGGAAGAGGGGAGGCGAGATGTTGGAGAACGACGCAATTTGATTACGAACTGTTTAATAAGTTTTACGACGCGCTTCTGGTTGCGGTAATCGGCGGTAGGTTTTCTTCCGGGATACGATAATACGGTTCTCTTTCGATCGCCAACGCTACGCTTTCGCGATGAAAGTTTGTGTGTGTGTGTGTGTGTGTGTGTGTGTGTGTGTGTGTGTGTGTGCGCGCGTGCGTGCAGCACGCGTCTAGCTTGTATAGTTTCATTTTAGCTTATGCATTGTCCGCGTTTCGCGCACGATGGGGCTCGCGGAAAATGCGAAACTAATCACTTCCGTGGGAGCTCCGCAATGCTCCGCGGGCTTCTTCAAGCACGATTGCCCATTTTCGGAATCGCGCTTTCATTTTTCAACTGTATTTCCGCATTGTTGGCGCACCGAAAAATGATCTATTTATTCCCATTATTCCCATAATCCCACAAATAATTCCATCATATAAGTATGCATATGTATGTATGTAAAACCATGTATATTTTTGCTAGAGATAAAATTCGATAAAATTATATTATTCGATAAATAATTGTTAAAATAAAATAAAAGATTGTTTATTCGTACTCTTTTGTATATTCATTTGTCGTGCGCATCGAACCACCATGTATTTGTCGTACTAATGTAATAATTTATCAAAAATATTTTTATCCAGCCTTGTATTTTGTTAATAATTAAAATACGTCAGGTTTGCGTTTTCTTGGCTTTTGCATTTTATTTTTACAGAGTATGGATAAATTGCATGGTGCGGTAACGTTTCTCCACGCGAGTGAATAGCGCTCGCAATAAATCGTTGTCATTTGCACTGTACGTGATTCGAAGTACTCGCGAGTGAAGGGTATTGGATAGCACTACCCATTTCGTCATAGAGAGAACCGTGTTATTTCATGCGAATAAGAAGCCCCGGTTTCCATGTTTGTCACCCTCAAAGTCATTGCTGGACATTCTGGCACAACTAGATGATACTCGAACGTACTAAATTCCATTCTAGATCTGTCACAAATCGCAGTAGAATAATTAACAGTCAAGCCCCATATTTCCGATATCAAATTTCCATTATTAAATTTGAAGGAATCTCGACTATAATTAATCCCGAACGGAAAAAAGATTTGTGGAATGCTGCCCCAAATGAATCGCCTGAAGAAAACTTAAATTGCTTTTAGTCATTCATTAATTTTCCGTCCCTTTCCGTCGTGTTTCCTTAATCAATAAAGAGTCGGCCGAGGACGTTCACTGATAATTTATTGAATTATTTTGACCTCCGTTTGGCTTACAAATAACATTGACATTCCGTGAGTTTTTTTATTCAGTCATTCTCTGTGTCTTCAAGACAAAGATTTATGACTTCGCCTCTATTCAAGAATTAGATCGACAAGTATCTTTCGCATTCTGTCTGCATCACGCAGAAATCATGTAGAAATATCTAAACTAAAAGATTCTCTCTTTTTTACTTAATACATTAATAATACCATAATATTACCGTTTTTATTTATAATACTTTATTATACTTATTTTCTGTAATAGATATATGTGTTATAAATTTTAATAATATCTATCGTCTAATAAAATTTTGAGTGATTCATCGTGATTGATTGGGATTTTATGGTCTCTACGAGTCGATAGGTCAGTTTCTAGCACGTTGAGCACGTCGAGCCCGTTGCTCTAGATTCGCGTCCAAGGATGGCAATTGCGCCACGATCTCCGACGGATTCCCATATCTGCGAGGAACGCGAGTGAACGACAACGTCACTCTCGCCTAGAAAGTAAACTTCCATGCTGCCCGGGGGCGGCTACGCCCTCAAGTCTGGTCAAGCTTTAATCATTTAATTACGTTCGCAAAGCAGATGCCAGCGAGTGGATGTCATAGAACGGAGGAAACGGATGGAGAATCAAAGGAGAAGAAGTAGTCTGCTTTATCATTGATATCCTGATTGAACGAAAAGAATAAACGCGAGAAATTATAGAGGGAATTTTGAAAAGGATTAATTATTTTATTATTATTAGAATAATAAGAAAGAGAATAACAATAAAAATTATTTATTCTGTTTCTCAACACACTCTAATAATAATTATTCAGTAACACAATAGGTATTCTTATAAATTTAACAATTACTTTCTATATTGTATATGCCTGTTTTTTTTTTAGTATTTTTGTATTATATAATATGTTGTGGAACCGTCTTCCTATTTTCGAGTCAGAATTTTTATTTGCTTATAATTATATTTGCTTATAAAATAAAATGGGTGCTAGAGTATGTGAGATTCTTGAAATTCTCGAGTGAACTTTAAGATTCTTTTAATGGTCGTTCTTAAACGGGAATATAGAGCACTTGTCTCGGATAAAAACTGATCACCATCGACATTGCTCATTGCATTCGATGAAAATGAGGCGTCATCAATTGGCATACCGGTTGATCGTCAAGATCACGATTTAATGAACGCACCTGGCAATTTTTTTTTGTAATTGCTTGTCCTCTTTGCCTTTAATCTAAGAATACGAGATGTTTTGTACAATTTGAATTCTCTTTCTCAAAGATCTTTATATCTAAGAAAATTGAGTTATAATAATTACCATTTATATACACCATTTATATACTTATATAATTATTATTTTTTATATTACTTGCATTTACTTACACTAGCATCGATTTGCCAATATTATTACTAATTCATTTGTGATTTTATTTTGATGATAATTATTTAGTCAATTAGCCAATTGAATTCAGTTTTTTTTTTTACATATTCTTTAAGACTTACAACAATCTATGTTGACTTTATTTCATTAAAAATTTCTGCATAATTAACCGTGTAATAAAATCATGCTTGAAGTGAAGTGTCATGCTTCATTAATTTTAATACTTTCAACAATCCTTTTTTTCTTTCAATATTAAAGCTCTGAATAATTTTCTATACGTTGTTTACATATAAAGTACATTCTCTTTTGATTTTATATGAAATTTTATATAATTAGAATGAATTTTGAAGAAGAAATAATGTTTATTGTTAATTTTTTTAAGATAACAGTTAAATCTTATGTAAAATATGCATTCAACTGCGATGAAGAAATACATGTTCGTGGGTCCAAATATATGATGTCCTGTTTTAAGGAAACAAAATCTCAAGAAAAATTATTCTACGATTTTAACTTATTTTGCGCCGTAGAACTCTCTTCCCATACATTTTGATTCACCCGTGTATATAACAAAATTTAAGATATTTACAATAAATAAAATATAATATATGACATATGTCGTCTCTATATTTTCCGTTATGAATTGCATACGACTTAGACGCAATTAACAGTGACACACCTTACAATCGGGCTCTTATATCGCGATCAATGAAAGTTCTTTATGTAATGCGCGTAATGTTACGTAAAGAGTCTCACCTAAACGATTTTTTCTCATCGACAATTATTCGCGAATATTCTCGAGCGCTTTGGTACGCGATCGCATTCGCGCTATCGTGCGAAATCGCTTCTCGGCGGAATAGACAGCCGCGTTACTATGAACGGGAAAACAATGCAACGTTACACAAGAGCGTCGTAAATGTGGCGGTTAATAACGAGCGAAATTCGTATATCCATCGAAATTACGTCCGGGCATGGAAATCAGAGGAACGATTTAACGCGATATCATCGCATATATATATTCGCGTCTGTTATTTGTCCGTTACAATCTCATGGTTTTCACGGTCGGATGCGGATAAATCGTGACTCGCCGACGGATGACTCACTTGATGATTCGCGCGCTTATTAGCAGCAAATTGCGACATCGGCGCCCGGGACGAGACGATAGACGATAATAGATAATTAGCTGTTACCGCATAATTTATGCGGAGATTGGTAAGAGTTTGCACTTACTCTTTTTATTAAACGTACGTAGGATTATTTTAGAGGTAGATAAGAAAAGAGTACAAGAGACTAACACCGCTTATCAAATTGATTTTAATCAGGGGATGCCAACAATTTCGAACTTTTATATTTTCTACATCCTTTTATGATACTTACATTGATATTGCATTCTTCTAATAACTTTATTTCTATTTAAATTAAGGAAATAGGGGATTAAAAGTCAAATTAACGTCAGAGATATAGTGACTCAATTAACGTATTATGTATTACAAGCGAAAACTGTTTCGTACACACACACACACACACACACACACACACACACACACACACACACACACACACACACACACACACACACACACGGCGGGAGATCGGTTTATCGAGTGCAGCGATGCACGAATTGCAGCAATGTGTTTTCCGCGGGGGAAAGCGCGTTCGAGGTTGCGGTGCAGTGGTGCATAAGCGAACGGAACGGTGAATTTTCGAATTTTTTTAGATTTTTATCAAGAAAATATATTATATACGGGTGTCAATTATCTAATCAAATTGCACATATTATACCCGCTGACTAATAAGAAACCATGCCAAATAACGTAAAAAATTGCGTTAAATTATATGTGAATATAGTAAGAATGCTTAGAGATATATTTTCGTGTTATTGCTGTTATTTTTGTTTGTTGTTTAATTTTGATAAGCTTACATTTCTATTTATATTATCTTGTTCATATTTTATACTAGTCTACTGTGATATGAAAATATTATAAATTAATATTTTCATTTCGCGAATTATAAATTAATATTTTCTTTTTTTGATACATTCACACGTTGCGAAGCAGATATTTGAAAGATTGTTTAAAAGCTTTATTCGCGAAATTTCTCTCTCT